GTGTGCTGTCTGGATATTAGGATGGTAGAGATAAACCCATTTGAATGTTTATCAAGTTGAGTTCTGAACTGACTTCCTTGTCCTTAGTCTGTCACATGCTACTTTGGGAGCATAGGATGACTGGCTTTGCTTTATCCTGTGCCCAAGCTCCTACTTGTTTCTCAATCTTCCATTGATTTCCCCCTCTTACCAGTACTAAGGTACAAAATCAGCAGTACTAGATTATTACACTACTTGGCACAAAATAAACTTTTCTTGAGCCAGACCGGAGAACAATTCCAAAGTAATGAAAATCCACCATTGATGAACTTGGTTATGGTTTGGTTCAGGTTTAGTCTTGTTCCTGGCTCAGATACTTGCATGGTTGGTTCACCTTTGGTCTAGAATGAATGTTGTGGATCTTCCCCAACCAACACCATCCTTGCCAGTCTCTCTCCCTGTCATAATCTCCATGAGATCTCCTTAGTCTAGTCACCACTATATTAAAAAGCATGTTGAGGGGTCAGCAGATAGTATAGCACCTGCAGTTAGAGTCCCAAACCAGATGCATGTGTGCCCAAAATCCTGGGAGAATTGAAGAGAAGAGATTGTGGTGTGATCATCACTCCAGAAGGTGATTTCTTTTCCTTTCACTGTCTCTCTCTCTCTGGCAAGCATACGTGCCCTAAGGCATGAAACCTCTACCAAAGGGGTCAGCTAATGGCATACCAGATATGTTGCTGGACTCCCACTTGGCCGACTACAGTTTTGAGTCCCGGACCTGTTTTGAAAATGCTGAGTGCATGGGCATGTGTGCCCAGGATCCCAGTAGGAGAATAAAGGGATTGAAGTGTGCCCATCCCCCTGGAGGGTAATTTCTTACTTTCCCTCTTAGTGTGTCTGTCACTCTGGCAAGGTCATGCACTCCAAGGGAAAATCCTCTACAGGAAAACAATAAAATTGGGATCATGAAACAAGAATGAAGGAGAAATGAAAGACCTCGCTGGATTAGTGTATCAAGTGCTGAACAGAAAAGGTAAGGAAATGTACACCTGTAGCAACCTGCATGCATTACAGTGTTGACAATTCTAAAGCTCCTGGAGACCATTCACAAAGAATCAGTGGTCATAGCATATGTTTTGGCAACACAGTAATAGTTTCCAGTGTGTTAAAGTTGCAACCTAGAATTTTATATCCGTTTACAGTATTGGTTTCTGAAGTGGGAAGTTGTATCCCCCACCACTGGGAAGATGACCACACCTGTTTCTTTGCTTTCACTCTGTTCTTGGGATATGGGGCACACACACACCCAGCATGAGTTTTTTGTTGTTTTTGTTGTTGGGGTTTTTTTTTTTTGTTTTTTGAGAGGTTTTTCCACTATAGGGCGCGTGTGCTCGCCAGACAGCGAGAAATCACCCCCCAGGGGGGATGGTACACCACAATCCCTTCTCCATTCTCTCGGGATCTTGGGCACGCACGCACACCACACGCGCCCGGTGTGAGTTTTAAGCCACCGGGTCCGGGACGCAAACTGCGGTTGACTACGTGGGAGTCCAGTGACATAGCCATTACGCTAACTGCTGGTTCCCCGCAGCATGAGTTTTAAGCCTCTCTGGGTCCAGGCCTTGAATCGCAGTTGGCCATGTGGAAGTCTAGCGCCTTAGCCACTATACTACCTGCTGACCCCCATCTAGTATTTTAATGTGAAGGAATAGTAAGGATCTTTCAGACACATTCAGGGCCTCAGGTTTGCCATACAAAGAGTTAAATGACCTATCCAACCCTGGGAAGTGTGTTAGTTTACTATAGAATCCACATGTCATTGCATGACTCTTAATATCCTGCTGCAGATTTTAAGTACAGTGGTCCCATAAAATCAGACCATGTAGTCTAGGTGTGTAATAAGCTACAGTGGCTAGGTTCGTGTAAGTACACTGAAGCTTGCACAATGATGAAATCATCTGACACAGTTGTCAATGTATTATCGTGCAGTGCACAGTCTTGGCAAAGCAGTTACAAAAGCCAAGATTCAGATGGACATGTGGATGAATTCCAGTCTAGCAGCTGAAAGCACAAAAAAGACATACCTTCAGAATTTGATCTGTTGGGAACCAGCAGTTAGCATAATGGCTATGTCGCTGGATTCCCACATAGTTGACTGCGGTTTGGTCCTGGACCCAGTGGCTTAAAACTCACCGGGTGCATGTGCGTGTGTGCCCAAGATCCCGAGAGGAGAATGGAGGAGAAGGGATTGCGGTGTGACCATCCTCCCTGGGGGATGATTTCTCGCTTTCTGTCTCTATGTCTCTCTCTGTCTGTCTGGCGAGCGCACGCGCCCTATAGCGAAAAACCTCTCCCAAAAAAAAAAACTTGATCTGTTGTACCCAGAACAGAGTGTAACTTTTGAACCACTTTACCTATCAACACTTTAGTTTTAATACATACATTTAATTCAAAAATTAGAAGTGTTTGGGATTTTTTTTTTCCCTCTCAGAAAGGTTACTTTGGTTGCCTCATTTTAATTTTTAAATTTTTGGTATATAGGGCACCAACACTCAGCAGAGAGAATGGAAGGAAGTGAGAAATCACCTTCCGGAGGGGATGGCCATGCTGTAATCCCTTTTCCTTTCAGAATTTTGGGCACACACACCACACCCACACACCCACACCCAGTGCTTTTCAAGCCACCAGGTCCAGGACTCAAACTGCACTTGATTGGCTGGGGTCTAACTGCCTTAACCACTATGCCACCAGCTGGGCCACCACAAATGTTTGTAAACAGTTCTATACTACAGTGTGGTGGTTAAGTCCTGGCTCTGACAATTATAAGTTCTGCAAAATGAGGGAATGTAGGGGATATAATTAATTTCAACAGTAAAGTTTGCCTCACAGATACAATGGGTAAACAATACATTACACATAAAGTATTTCGTGTAATGTCTGCCACTTACTGTTCTTTTAAGTGAAAGATCACATCAGCATTACTACATATTAGTGGTAATTGCAGGGTTGGCAGGTGACGTGGTGGTTAAGGACGCTGGACTCCCACATGGCTTACTGCAGTTCGAGTCCTGGACCTGGTGGCTTGCTTTCTTTCTCTGTCCCTTTCTGGTCAAATTAAATAAATTAACTAAATTAAACAAAATAATTGTTTTAGAAAAATGATAATCGCAGTAATGATAATTAGAAATGTTGACTGCTTTAGCAAGAGAACCAAAATGCAAACCTTTGGACCAAATAACTTGCTGAGAAAATTATGTTTTGCTAGAGCTAATGCTCACTGTTACTCACAGTTCCTCATCTCTGTATAGAAAGATGCTTTGCCTGAAAAATCCTGCCCAAAAGCAAGAGAGTGGTAAACATTAGAACTCTCCACCATCTTCATAGATACACAGGGACAGGGAGACCTGCTCTCTCATTGTCTGATTCGCCCATGAACCGCCTCGACATTTACTGTGATTGCTTCGAGTCTAGATACCTGGCAGGTTGAAGCTCACTCGTGGTGGCCTGGTCTGATGCAGATATTGTGGCCACTTGGACCACACTTTCCCATGAAGGTTACTGAGCAGGGTTCTGTCAGGAACCAAACCTATGTCAGGCAACCAGGACCAACTATGAAACATGTAGTGGAGGAAAACAAAAAGTAAACATAATAGGGGTTATAGCAAAGTGATTAGCAGCCTCCCAGCCAGATTACCTCTGTTCAACTCTGATGTGTGACCTTGAATAAGATACTTAACAAAGCATTGCCTCAGTTGTTTGGTGATAAAATCGATAAAACCATGTGGTGACCTGGCCCCCAAAACCTGATAATATGTCACTTTACATGCTAAAGGATATTGCAGATGTGATTACGTTAAGGACCATGCCATGGGGAAATTATACTGAATTAACTAGATAGATGTGTTGTAATCACAGATGTCTTTATAAGAAGATGAGAGGGTAAGGGTCAGTTGTAGAAGTAATGACTGAGGTTGGAGTGAGGGAAAGGGAGTCATGAACCAAGGCGTGCTGGCAACCCAGGGGAATGGATTTTATCAGAAGGATTTTTTTTTTTTTTTTGAGAAATTTTTGCTATAGGGCACATGTGTTCGCCAGAAGGACAGAAACAGAGAGACAGAAAGGGAGAAATCACATCCCACTCCTCCACCCCCAGGTAGGATGGCCACGCCACAATCCCTTCTCCATCTTCCTCTCGGGATCTTGGGCATGCACACATATGTGCCCGGCATGAATTTAAGCCATTGGGTCCGGGACCCGGACTGCAGTCGACTACATGGGAGTCCAGTGACAAAGCCATTATGCCAACTGCTGGTCCCGAGAAAGATATGGTTTATAAGAAAGATTAAATATATATCAATGTAAAGGGCTCAAAACAGTATAATGGGAGTCAGAAATTGAACAATGAGGAAGGTGGTGGTGGAGGGAATATAAATTTCAACAAGAGGACCAGTAGGGACGTGTTGTATAAACACAAGTTTATGAAGTACCACTTTTAACCTGTTATATGTGTAATTGTGTACAATCTATATCATACAATTGTGCATTCATTTCATGTACTTCAAGACAAGAAATACAGAAAATGACTACAATTTCACATATAGATGCTAGTTGTCTGATCTGTGGATGACCTGAGGCAAACGATTTCAAGGACATAGCATTACTATACCACTTACACAGAGTGGAAATCATTGGGTACCAACCAGAAAAAGAAGAAAACCTGGTGATGCCTCCCAGGAATGTGGGCAGGAAAACAATAACACTCAGGACATATGATTAGCATTTGGATTATAGGTACACCTATGTAAGTCCAAGCTGAAAAAATGAACCAAAAAATGCTGTATTCACATTTTTATTTTGTGTTCGTGGAGACACCATAGCAGGGGCATGAATTCTAACAGTTAAGAGACTCATTCCTGGGGCTCCTAATCAG